ATTAAGTATTAACTACATATCAGGCACTGTGCTGAGTGCTTTATAAGGACTGTCCTGATTAAGACTAACTATAGGGACTTCCCTGGTGGCTTGGTGGCTGACTCCATGCTCCCAACTCAGGGGACCCACGTTCAACACCTGGTCAGGGAACTAGATCTCACAGGCTGCAACAAAGATGAAAGTGCCACAACTAACCCGGTGCACCCAAATAAATAAATATTAAAAAAAAAAGACTGACTATAACCCTGTATGAAGGTGCAATACAACACAGTGATTAATCACGGACTCCAAATTCATCACCCACTTGCTGTGTGGCTTTGGGGAAGTGACCTAAAATGGGGATAATAATAGTACCTTCTTTCTAGGGTTTATGAAAATTAGATGCTACAGCATTGCTACGAACAGTGGGGCGGGCAGGCGGTGCCCTGTATAAGGACAAACTACTAAGGCAATAATTAGGTCTGATACCCAGTGCCTGCTCTCCAAGTCAGGTGCCTTAGTGCAGGGTGATACCAGCCTGAGAAAGCAGTGCCTTTTCCTAATTTTCACAAAGATGCCTTATGGACTAGTGGCCCTGAAATGAGATGCTAGGAAATGCTCCCTGGGAAGACCAACCAATCAGCAGGGGAGCAGGGGCTGTTCAGGACAAGTTAACAATTGTCACTAACATTGTTCTCATTCTCCTGATGAGAAATCGGGCTTAGAGAGGCTAAGTGATTTCTTTACCACAGAATTCAGACATTCTTATAGATGCATAACAAAAAGACAAAAAAATCCAACAGAAATACATAAAGGAGACCCTTCACAGAAAAAAATAACACACATACAAAATCACTCATAGTTAAAGAACTGAAATTTGGACTTCCCTGATGGTACAGTGGATAAGATTCTGCCTGCCAATGGAGGGGACACAGGTTTGATCCCTGGTCTGGGAAGATTCCACATGCCTGAGAGCTACTAAAGCCTGTGTGCCAGCCACAACTACTGAGCCCTCAGTGCTGCAGCTATTGAAGACGGGGCACCTAGAGCCTATCCTCCACAACAAGAGGAGCCACTGCAATGAGAACTCCGAGAACTGCAATGAAGACTAGCCATCATTCACTGCAACTAGAGAAAGCCCGCACATAGCAATGAAGACCCACCCAGCAAGACCAGAAATAAATGAATAAAATAAAGAAGTGAAAGTTGAAACAGTAAGCGAGACATTTTTCATCTCTTAGATTAGTAAACATGGGTTACATTTAGTCTTGAACAAAACTGTGAGGAAACAGTCTCTCGCACTGTTGATGGGCCTGTAAGTTATCCTGGGAGGCTTCTTCCTACCCCGAGTCTCATAACTAATCATTGAATTCCAACGCTTTAAATACTCAGGGCTTCTGATCTAGGATAATGGTCAGTTGATCCTGGACACGGGCAACTGTTTGCTGGTCAGTGGCTCATCACTACAAGGTTTTCTCCGAGGTTTTCATATTTAAGTTTAGATACTGTGCTGTGCCTAGTTATTCAGTCTGTCAGGCTCCTCTGTCCATGGGGATTCTCCAGGCACGAATACTGGAGTGGGTTGCCATGCCCTCCTCCAGGAAGTTTAGATACTAAGAAATTTTTGTTTCAGAGCTTAAAAAGAAGAATGCTTCAGGACTTCTTCAGTGGTTCAGTGGCTGAGACTCCTCAGTTACAAGGCAGGGAGCCCAGGTTTGATCCCTGGTCAGGGAACTAGATCCCATATGCCACAACTAGAGATCCTGTAAGCTGCAACAAAGATCAAAGATCCTGAGTGCCAAAACTAAGACCTGGCAAAGCCAAATAAATAACTATTTTAAAAAAGTACAGAGATTCAAATTTAAGTTTCCTTTTTTTAAAAAAAAAAGAGTGCTTCATTTTACGCTTTGTATTGAATTTATCTTGGCTTTGGGTCAATAAGATGTAAACTTCTGAAATAATTGCCTTTAAAAAGGCAACAAAATGGGAATCCCCTGGTGGTCCAGTGGTTAGAAGTCTCTACATCTTCACTGGAAGAGATGTGGGTTCAATTCCTGGCCTGGGAACTAAGATGAGATGGTGGCTATGCTCAGCCGCTTCAAGTCGTGTCCGACTCTCTGTGACCCCATGGATTGTAGCCCACCAGGCTCCTCTGTCCATAGGATCCTCAAGGCGAGAATACTGGAGTGGGTTGTCATTTCCTATTCCAGGGGATCTTCTCAACCCAGGGATTGATCCAGTGTCTCTTATGTCTCTTGCATTGGCAGGTGGGTTCTTTACCACTAGCGTCACCTGAGAAGCCGAAGATGGTGGAGGGGGAGGCAACAAAACAAAAATGTTAACATGAGTGTTTACAATTGTCCTGTATAAATCATTCCTCCTCTTGCCTCTTGACAGAGACTATACAACATCGTTTAATCTTTTATTGAGACTCAGGGCCATCATTATTGAAAATCAATGACTCTGTCTTCTCAGAACTCAACATCAAACTGTTTTATATTTACTTACAGGCCCAAATAAATTAAGGGGAATATTCAATACATGATGTTGGGACATCCAAGTGGCCTTCCGGAAAAAATAGTTGGATCCTTACTTCTCATCTGGATCAAATCTTTGAATATAAAAAATGGAGCTATAAATAAACTAGAAGAAAACATTATTTTATAATCTCGGAATATGGAAGAACTGACAGCTATGACATGAAATTCAGAAGCCCTTTAAAAAGATAATGATATTTGATGATCTAAAAATGACACCTGAATGGTAAAAGACAAAACAAAAACCAAAAAAATCACTGAAACAAAGTCAAAAGACAATATGAGAAAAAACATTGTAACTCATATTATAGACAAGGGGCTCAGTATCCCCAAAACAAATGGAGTACTTAGAAATCGATAAGAAGTTATTAATATCTTAGAGGAAAGTATTATCACAACTCCCACAGATTCAGCCTAATCACTTCCCTTTTTTTGTTTGTTTTTCCTTAGCCAGGGGTAACTTGAGGGCAGAAACTCTATTTCTTATGCCTTGTCCAGAACCTGGCACATCTTTGTCACTTCATTAGGGTTTTGTTTTCCCCCTAAATTAAAAATTTTCATAAGTTATATACTGCATTTGCAACCATTTGGCCAGATACTGTCTCCCCTAATAAAGTGAAAGCGAAAGTGAAGTTCTGTCAGTCATGTCCAACTCTTTGTGACCCCATGGACTATATAGTCCATGGAATTCTCTAGGCCAGAATACTAGAATGGGTAGCCTCTCCCTTCTCCAACAGATCTTCCCCCCAACCCAGAGATTGAACCCAGGTCTCCTGCATTAAGATTGGTCCAAATAATGCTCTACAAGGGGGAAACCTCATATTTTAATTTTTCTAGGGGACTTCCCTGGTGGTCCACTGGCTAAGACTCCATGCGCCCAATGCAGGGGACTCTAGTCAGGGAACTAGATCCCACATGCCACAACTAAGATCCAACACAGCCAAATAAAAAAAAACAATATTAAAAAATTTTTTCCAGCAGAGAAGTGTCCATTGATCTTTACTTTGTGTTTCTGAGTTGTGTCTTATCCATGAATGAAGGCAGTGCACTTCATTCCCAGGTTAATAAATTCAGAAAATAAAAAAATAGGCAATGATAAAAACTACCACTTATTGACTGCTTAGTATTTTACACACAATCCTTGGAATGATTCTATTTTAAAAAATAATTTATGTATTTATTTATTTATTTTTGGTTGCACTGGGTCTTGGCTGCTGCACACGGGCTTTCTCTAGTTTCAGCTAGTGGGGGCTACTTTTCGTTTTGGTGCATGGACTTCTCATTGCAGTGGCTTCTCTTCTTGCAGAGCACAGGCTCTCTTCTCTCATTGTGGAGTGCCTGGGCTTCCGAAGTGGCAGCACTCGGACTCAGTAGTTGTGGTTTGTGGGCCCTAGAGCACATAGGCTTCAATAGTTGTGGCACATGGGCTTAGCACGTGGAATCTTCCCCGACCCTGGACCCAACCTGTGTCCCCTGCATTGGCAGGCAGATTCTTATCCACTGGACCACTAGGGAAATCCTTGGAATGATTTTAGTATTGTCATCTACATCTTATACCTGGGGAAATCAAGATTCAGAGCTTCAAGTAGTTCTTTAAATGATGGTATCACTCTCTAAGCTTAATAAGCTGCTAAGTTGACACCAGAACTGAGGTCTCTCAGGCTACAGAAACCAGAGAGATGAAACATTCCGCTCTGTCACCAAAAAAGCTTCTGAGGCCCTTTATCAGAGGTTCATGAGAGGCTCTGCCTTAGAGGGGCAGATGCAGCTAGCATCCCACAGTGACCTGTGCCCTCTGTATTCAGGTTCACTCCATTCTCACCTCTCAACTCTATCTGGGAGGTTTCCTTTCCTTCTAATATCACCTCTTCCCCCACCCCCCCAAATATATGTAGAAACAGACCCATAGACACAGAAAACAAACTTATAATTACCAAAGGGGAAGGTGAGGAGGGATAAACTAAGAGTTTGGGATTAAAAATATACACACTACTATATATTCCTGGCGGCTCAGATGGTAAAGAATCTGCCTGCAATGCAGGAGACCCAGGTTCGATCACTGGGTTGGAAAGATCTCCTGGAGGAGAGCATGGCAACCCACTCCAGTATTCTTGTTTGGAGAATCCCAGGGACAGAGGAGCCTGGTGGGCTATGACGGTCCACAGAGTCGTAAAGAGTTGATCACGACTGAAGCAATTTAGCGCTCATATATAAAACAAATGACCAATAAAGACCTGCTATATATATATATAGCTCAGAGACCTATACTCAATATCTTGTAATAACCTATAATGGAAAAAGAGTCTAAAAACAAAGAGATACATTAATATATGTGTATATAGGTATAACTGAATCACTTTGCTGTACATCTGAAACTAACATGACATTGTAAATCAACTATATTCAATAAATTTTTTAAAAACCACTATATACACATAGATAGATAGATAGATAAACACATTCATATGAAGTGCTCCTGATTACCTGATTATTTCCATATCTTGTATCCCTACTTTCTGCCTCTGCTTCCCCACTTCTGAGGGATGATATAGGCACATGCTTGCTAGTTGTGGCTCTTCATGTCATCTCCAAATGGAGATCAGGTCAAGGACTCCTATAATTTGAAAAATAATTTGATTGATTCTGATGATTCTCTCTGATCTCCCCAACTTGAGAATCATTGCTTTATCACTTAAGTGTATCTATAAAGGAATGTTTGGGACTTCCCGGGTGGTCCAGTGATTAAGACTTTGAGCTTCCACCGCAGAAGGCACAGGGTTCAGTCCCTGGTCGAGGAACTAAGATCTCACATGCTGGGTGGTGCGGCCAAAATGTTCGTTTTTTTTTTTTTAATATAAAGGAATGTTTGCCCTCATTTTTAAAGTATTGGATAGGTGATTATGTCCCCAAATTCCAGTGTGAGGATCAGTAGGGGTGGGGGTTAAGAAGTGTAAAGCCTGCAGGCATCCTATTATAGAAATTCAGTCTCCATGAGGTGGAGCCAAGGAATCTTCATTTAACATGCTTCCAGGGTGACCCTGCCACAGGACAAGGAAACACTGGATGGGAAAAGGTCAGCACAGCTTCTCCAATTTCAGCCCCAGGTGAGTGGATCTAGAGTCAAGAGGAAGCCAAAGGATCAAGGTAGTCACCAACACTTTCATCATCATCATCATGCTCCTAAACCATTCACAGAGTGCCTATTATATGAAAGGCAATTGTTGTTCAGATGCTAAGTTGTGTCTGACTCTTTGTGACACCATGGACTGCAGCATGCCAGGCTCCTCTGTCCTCCACTGTCTCAAGAGTTTGCTCAAATTCATATCCATTGAGTCAGTGATGCTATCTAATCATCTCATCCTCTGCCATCCCCTTCTCCTTATGCCCTCAATCTTTCCCAGGAATAGGGTCTTTTCCAATGAGTTGGCTCTTTGTATCAGGTGGTTAAAGCATTGGAACTTCAGCTTCAAAATCAGTCCTTCCAATTAATATACAGGGTTGATTTCCTTTAGGATTGACTCATTTCAGTTCAGTTATCAGTTCAGTTGCTCAGTCACGTCTGACTCTTTGCGACCCCATGAACCACAGTACACCAGGCCTCCCTGTCCATCACCAACTGCTGGAGTCTACCCAAGCCCATGTCCATTGAGTTGGTGATGCTATCCAACCATCTCATCTTCTGTCGCCCCCTTCTCCTCCTACCCCCAATCCCTCCCAGCATCAGGGTCTTTTCAAATGAGTCAGCTCTTCACATCAGGTGGCCAAGTATTGGAATTTCAGCTTCAGCATCAGTCCTTTCAGTGAACACCCAAGACTGATCTCCTTTAGGATGGACTGGTTGGATCTCCTTGCAGTCCAAAGGACTCCCAAGAGTCTTCTCCAACACCACAATTCAAAAGCATCAATTCTTTGGCGCTCAGCTTTCTTTATAGTCCAACTCTCACATCCATACATGACTACTGGAAAAACCATAGCCTTGACTAGACAGACCTTTGTTGGGAAAGTAATGTCTCTGCTTTTTAATATGCTGCCTAGGTTGGTCATAACTTTCCTTCCAAGGAGTAAGCATCTTTTAATTTCATGGCTAAATCACCATCTGCAGTGATTTTGGAGCTCCCAAAAATAAAGTCAGCCACTGTTTCCCCATCTATTTGCCATGAAGTGATGGGACCAGATGCCATAATCTTAGTTTTCTGAATGTTGCGCTTTAAGCCAACTTTTTCACTCTCCTCTTTCACCTTCATTAAGAGGCTCGTTAGTTCTTCTTCACTTTCTGCCATTAGGGTGGTGTCATCTGCATATCTGAGGTTATTGATATTTCTCCCAGCAATCTTGATTCCAGCTTGCTCTTCCTCCAGTCCAGCATTTCTCATGATATAGTCTGCATATAAGTTAAATAAGCAGGGTGACAATATACAGCCTTGACGTACTCCTTTTCCTATTTGGAACCAGTCTATTGTTCCATGTCGAGTTCTAACTGTTGCTTCCTGACCTGCATACAGGTTTCTCAAGAGGCAGGTCAGGTGGTCTGGTATTCCCATCTCCTTCAGAATTTCACTCATTTCACTCATTTCATGCAATCCCAGGGACTCTCAAGGGTCTTCTCCAGCACTACAATGTGAAAACATCAATTCTTCAGTCTGAGACTTCTTTATGGCAATTACCAACCTCGAAAGGTACAAGCAAAGCAAAGGGCCCTAGGATAGAAAGACTATGGGAACTGTAATTAGAACAGTGAATCTGGGTTCAATTGGAGGTTGGTTAAGAAGAGGTGTCAGTGAAATATATCTGATCCAAAGGTTTTATACATAATGGAATCTAGCAAACTGAGGAAGCCACTGATATTACAATACCAGCTCATCTTTGTGTATTTGTCAGACACAGGCTGAATTAAGGCCATGGTTACATATTGACCTGTCTACTCATACATCTAAAGAAGAGAACTGGGTTTTACATTTATTGACCAGGGACTTCCCTGGTGGTTCAGGGTAAAGAATCTGCCCTTCCACCACAGGGGGCATGGGTTCGATCCCTGGCTGCTTGGGAAGATCCTGCATGCCACACAGTGCAGCCAAAAATAAATAAAATAAGATAAATATACTTAAATTTATTGACCAGTTCAAGGCAAACCATGATAAAGCTTGGGAACGATGCATTGGGAAAAGCTTGGAGGGTTCTAGGACCGTGGCCGGTTAACAAGTGAATGGACTCCCTTCAGGTTGTCTCCTCAAACTCCCAAAACTATTCATCTTGTGTACACTGGGGAACTCTCAGCCATAGGAAATAGGCAGGAAGATTCTAGGACGCAATTAAAATTGTCAAATATATTAGGCACAGGCTCCCCTGGTGGCTCAGACAGTAAAGAATCTGCCTGCAGTGCAGGAGACCTGGGTTTGATCCCTGAGTTGGGACTGGAGAAATCAATAGCTACTCACTCCAGCATTTTGGCCTGGATAAATCCATGGACAGAGGAGCCTGGTGGGCTACAGACCATGGGGTTGCAAAGACTCAGATACAACTTAGCAACTTTTAATTTTCATTAGACATAGATCACTGCAGTCTCAATCTTTTGAGACTGAAAGACACAGGCTGAAGCTCCATTCTTGTCTTTTTAAGATAGGAGAAGAATTAAGTCTTTCTAGAAGAAAATTCTATCTTCATGGACATCATATGCATGATTGGGTGAGGACTTGCAAATTAGCATATCTTTAGATAAGTTTTCCTAATTTGAAAGCCTAATTTATCCTTAAAGGACAAGCTTGTTTCAGAATTCCCAAACCAGATAAACTGACCTTGGGGATTATAAACTTGTAGTCTGGGTCCCCTGGATCTCTTCATCGTGTGGGTGGGAAAATTCTCATCATTTGAAGCTACATGGGAGCAGAAATTTATAGTTTATAAAGTTTGTCTGGAGCCAGAATCAGGGTCTATCATGCTCAATAAATATTTCTTGAATTCATAGATGAGCCTGTTTATAAACTTATCCAAAATACTTGCTGAAAGTATTTTGCAGGGATGAAGAAACATTTGTCAGTGTTGATAAAAAGGATTTTATGAGCATAATCCAACAGTGTTCAGAGCCCAAGAAATAATTTCTCTACTACTTTTTGGATTATGCCTTCACAAATTTGTAATAGATTCTAACAATTACTTCAGAAGCCTTCTTAAATCAAACATTTTTGAATATAAGTTAGCCAAACCTATCAAATGGGTCAATTAAATACCATTTTCCATTCCCATGCTAACACACGTAAGCTGTAATTCTTCATGCTGGTTAAAAAAAATTCAAAAAACAGAATTTGTTTTATTAATGTAAAACAAGTGTGGTGTTTAATGTAGGGTGCTAGCACGCTTAGTTGTGTCTGACTCTTTGCAACCCTTTGGACTGTAGCCAATGAGGCTCCTCTGTCCATGGGATTTTTCAGGCAAGGATACTGGAGTGGGTTGCCATTTCCTCCTCCAGGGGATCTTCCTGACTCAGGGATGGAACCTGAGTCTCCTGTGTCTCCTGCATTGCAGGCGGATTATTTACCTACTGAGCCATCACGGAAGCCCTACTAATACATGCTGTTGCTGCTAAGTCATGTCAGTTGTGTCCAACTCTGTGCGACCCCATAAACGGCAGTCCACCAGGCTCCCCCGTCCCTGGGATTCTCCAGGCAAGAACACTGGAGTGGGTTGTCATTTCCTTCTCCAATGCATGGAAATGAAAAGTAAAAGTGAAGTCGCTCAGTCGTGCCCAACTCTTAGCGACCCCATGGACTGCAGCCTACCAGGCTCCTCCATCCATGGGATTTTCCAGGCAAGAGTATGGGAGTGGGTTGCCATTGCCTTCTCCTACTAATATATAATTTTGTCTTAATCCTATTTATTTATTTTTAATTGGAGGATTATTGCTTTACAATGTTGTGTTGATTTCTGCCATGCAACAACATGAATCAGCCACAATCATAGAAATATATATAGATATAAATAGATATCTTTCTTCTTGAACCTCTCTCACCTTAATTTTTTAAAGTTGAAGTATAGTTTACAATGTCCCATTTATTTATTTCACAGTGTTGTTCTTAATCTTGATTTAAAAATAAACATCATTAAACTGAACATCACTTTGATACTAAACTGATCGTAAGTCATGCTGTTCTTTTTACTGTGGAATTTATTTTCAGGTTTCAATCTTTGCTAATGGAATTAAGTTTACAGTTACTTATATTACATCTTTCATGTTTTTATTTTTAATCTTTTTGAAATTTAACATTATTGAAGGTAACAATTTTTTCAGCAATATTAATGAACAAAATTAATTTAAATTGTGTGCCTTTTACCTATGGCAGTGATATATAAATCATACAATCATAATAATCATATAATTATCATATGATCATATAATTAAGTATATATATGTATATACTTAGTAATAATGCTATAAGGTTTTCCTTCCAAATAATGGAATTTAAAAGTTGAATCAATTAAAAGAAAATATTAATAATTAGCATAAATGGGTTAGAATCATGAAGAGGACATCAGAAGGGCTAGATTTAGTGGAAACACTAAGAGTGGAGCCAGTATGGAATAGCCAGCCAGTTAGGCTGGCTAACAAGATGAGCTGCCTCT